ACATACTCACTCACTCTTTCCAAGTGCACACAAACCACCTTGCACAAATTAAAATACAGAGTCTCATACAATTCAGCTAGATACAAATTCACACATTGGGCAGGCTGTTGAAAGTGAAAGTCGCTCCGCCATGTCTGACTCTTTGTGACCCCATGGGTATAGTCCATGGAATTCTCCAGGCCAGAACTCTGGAGTGGGTAGCCTTTCCCTTCTCCAGGGGATCTTCCCAACCCAGGGATCGAACCCAGGTCTCCTGCATTGCAGGTGGATTCTTTACCAGCTGAGCCACAAGGGAAGCTGAGCAGGCTATTAGTCATTACCTATCCCCTTTTCCTAATTTAATATCCTCTCTTCTACCACCTTGTGCTTATGGCCAGAGTTCTTTTTCTTAGGAGGCTTGAATCATGTGTATTTACTCATATATCTAAAATATTTGTGTACCATTTTATAAAACAATCCTTTATAGTAGTTATATTCATTGTTGTCATTATTTTACAGATAAAACCACTGAAGCCCAGCTAGTAAGAGGCTTGCTTGTGGCCCTACTTTTATTAAGATAAGATTAGGGCTAGAATCTAAACTTTTAACTTTATATCACTAAGTTATTTCCTAAGACTATCATGCAGCATTTATGTACTCCTTCTCCATTCCAAGTCATAACTACCCTTTTCATGGGATTCTCTGGTGGTCTAATGGTTAAGACTCAGGCTTTCACTGCTGTGGACCTGAGTTCAATCCCTGGTAGAGGAACTAAGATCCCAGAAGCCTTGTGAAGTGAAGTGAAGTGGAAGTCGCTCAGTAGGGTGGTTAAAAAAAAAACTTACCCAAGCTTCTTTTTTTTTTTTCATTTATTTTTATTAGTTGGAGGCTAATTACTTCACAACATTGCAGTGGGTTTTGTCACACATTGACATGAATCAGCCATGGAGTTACATGTATTCCCCATCCCGATCCCCCCTCCCACCTCCCTCTCTACCCGATTCCTCTGGGTCTTCCCAGTGCACCAGGCCTGAGCACTTGTCTCATGCATCCCACCTGGGCTGGTGCCAAGCTTCTTGATTCCTATGGCTTTTGTGTCTGCATTTCCTTGATGCAAACCCTCCCTCTGCTGGCCATTGTCCAGGGCAAAACAGGAGCCTCTTGAGTTCCGTTTCCTCACTCCCTTGACTTTTCTGAAAATTCCAAATTCATTGGCATCTCAGAGCTGATATAGGTAGTAGTGAATAAAAGTCTGCTCTGAAACTTACTATATTCTTGGGGCATACACTAGAAATAGATTAAAATAAAATAAAAGCATATCTAAAGCCCAGTTACATACATTTTGATTATTAAATCCATGTAAGATTTGAGTGATAGTATTTTCCCGAAGGCTACTACATCTTAGATTCTGACATAAATCATGAAAATTGCATATGGAAATGATCATCTGTGCGTGAAAAGAGAGGAGGGCTGAGGAAAACAGAATAAAAAGAAACGGTAGCTAGTCCCATGCTTTTTAATGCCATGTATTTAAAAGCTTGGGTTTATAGCCTTAATAGCTATGAGAAACATAAAAGGAAGAAAGTCCAACTTGGCTACTGAGATTAAAAAAACAGAGCCCAGCCCTGAATTTTCAGAAGCTCTGTTGTACCTGCCTTCAGCCTGGCTTGCCTAGGCTTGCCTGGGCTTACATGGGTAACCCAGGATTGCTGCTAATTCATTCATCCCAGGGAGGTGAAGTCAGGTAAAGACACCACTCCTATTTCATGACTTCCCTCAGAGACAATGGAAAGAATGACACATAACTTCACCCAGCAAATGAGCTTCTGCTTGGAGATGAGCTTCCCTCCACCTGTGAAATTAAGGCTCTGGGGTGCTTCCTTATCCCTTTCAACAAAGGATGAAGAGGACAGGCATGCTCAGCACTGCATCCTTGCAGCCTCTGGGCTTCAAGCATCATAAAAGGCAAAAGAAAAAAGGTACTAGAAAAGAAGGGTGTTAAAAAGAGATTCAATTTGCAGTCTTAAGGGAAAACTTAAATCTTGCCCCAGAAATGTAGTTTAGCATATGAAATTGAACCATTTTAACATTTAGTTTCCTAAATGGATTCCTTTTACCAAGAGATAATATCATGCATAAACTGCAACACATGGGCAGGTATGATATACATTATTGACGTCACATATTTATTAAAGATTCCTGTGGGTATTGTCTCAGTGAAAATGCTATTAGAAGGTAACCCGTAAACTGTTATTGCAAACTTTATTTTATATAGTTAATGTAAAAGAAAAGAAAATACATTTCTTTGTAACTGTTCTTTTTTTTTTTTTGCTAGTTTTATACCACTACTTGGTCCATTCCTTTCAGGTGCTAATCTGCTTCTGTTCTGCAGTTTCTATTTTCTTTTCTTCCACCTGTCAATCTCAGAGACCTTCAAGTTTCTATTACCATAATCACACTTCAGTTTCTGATCCTGCTCACCTCCTCCCACCAGTTTCATTTGCTGCCTCTCTCCCCTGGACATAGATTTGGATGGAAAACTTCACTGGGTGTGAAGTAGGAGATAGAGGGGCCCCAGGCTGAGCAGCTGGAGTCTGCCCCTGTGGACAGATACTCCAAGATGAAGCAAAGGAGGAGCTAAGCCCTGCCCAAATAGAGACAACATATTTCTCATTCTTGAAGTTAAGAAGACCTTCCTAACTATGCATGTGTAGACAGGCTTCTGGGAGATCAAAAAGGGAGTGATGTCAACCTATCCACAGGCCTTTTAGTTAGAATCCATCTTGGTTAAGAGATGCGTGCACACACAGGCAAGCCCTGAGATAAATCACATGTGGATGCAGAACTGGGCTTACCTGGTGGCTCAGACAGTAAAGAATCCACCTGAAATGCCGAAGACCTGGGTTCTATCCCTGGGTTGGGAAGATTCCCTGGAGGAGGGCACAGCAACCCACTCCAGTATTCTTGCCTGGAGAATCCCCATGGACAGAGGAGCCTGGTGGGCTACAGTTCATGGGGTCACAAAGAGTCAGACATGACTGAGTGACTAAGCACAGCACATGAGGGTGTGGCTCTCTTTGAGCTCGCCTGTGTGTCTGTCCACATTTACTCTTCATTCTCCTGATAAACACTTCACTTGTTTCACTACTTTCCATTTCTTTGTGGAAGTTCACTTTCTGCAAAGCTGTTCAGACCTGGGTCTTGTTACACTCTCACTGCTGCAGTCTGACTTCAGTCTCTGGCTGGGGAACTGAAAGCCTGCTTCAAGCGCTGCAGGCTGAGGCCACCCAAGATCGGGTGGATAGCCATCAGCTCTCGAATTTTTATGCCTGTGAATAAGATGGCCTTTTACTCACTTGCTCATTTTAGTAACAAGATACTACCTCACGCTGGGAAGGTAAAAAAGATGCTGGTAAATATGAAGATTGTCTTTTATGCCTCAGAAAATTAAATCAGTTCATGCTAAAAACTGAATCTTTGAGATCTTTGACTGCAGCGTAATTTTCTATTTAGGGTTTTTTTTTTTGTTGTTTTGTTTTTAAATCATGCATGTTTTCTATTATTGACGAGACAGAAAGCTATACATCTCCCCCTGGTGGTTCCTGTTAGTGTCTGCCTTTCCATGTCCAATTTCTTCCAGCCCTAATCAACCCCAATAAAATGCTGCTAAAATAATCTTTCTAAATCACATTCTGTTATCCCTCTCCTGCTCAAACTTTCAGTGGCTCCTTATTACCTGCAGGATAAAATCCAAACGCCTTGGCATGGTCCACCTGAAATTCATGTACTAAAACTCTGCATTTTGAAATCTTACACATTCTTCACAATTTAAATGCCTCTTTCCCAATCCACCTGGAAGTAGTCTGTCCATTTTATGCGCCTACACCACAATCTGCCAGTTAATTATACTTATTTGTGCTCATTTTCTCTCTCAGACTCCCTTGTGAATATCTGGATAGTAGGAAAGAACAATGTATTTTTCAACTTCCTGTTGTCCCCACAATTCTTTGCATAGTGAAGGCATTCAACAAATGTCTATAGAACTGAATAAAATAGATACAGTAGTTAGTAAAACTGTTAGCATTAGGCTTTAAAAACAGATGACACATTTAAAAATGGATCAAGAGAGAACTGCATAGGCCAGCCCCAAGTAGTAGAAATATAATGCAAGTTACATGTGTAATTTTCAACTTGACAGTAGCCAGATTTAAAAAACGGGTGAAATTCATTTTAATAATTTTTTATTTAGCCCCATTATTTCAACATGTAATCAATATAAAAATTACTTATGAAATATTTCACATTTTTTTCCATACTAAGTCTTCTAAAGTTAGTGTGCAGGATGTACTTACAACACATTTCAGTTCAAATTTGCCACATTAAAAGTGCTTTTATAGCCACATGTGGCTACTGGCTATTGTATTAAAAAGGCGCAGAGCCCAGGGTAGGAACCAAATCCTATCTTGGTTGGCAGAGTGGCTTTGTTATCCTAGATAAGACCTTTAACCACTCATTTCCTTGGTTTCCTCCAGAGGGCTCTGGGATGGTCATTTCTTATTAACACTTTGTGTTCTTTTTAAGAGATTCTCTGCAGAGCTATATATAAGTGGCTCTTCCCAAACATTTCATTTATTGCTTATTCACATGTCAAGATCTGAACTATCACTCTCACTGCCCTATGAAATGGTATAAAAATGTATCCAAATTATAATTTCAGCTTTATGTATATGGAGTAAGTCGAGGAAGTGAGAAACAATTCCCTCTCGTGAGTATTGTGACTTGCGTTTCTGTCAGCCTAGCCTCAGGAAGGCACCTATTAGAATTGTGCTTGGTCCAAGATCCCTTTCCCCTTCCCGCCACAAGGTCCAGGGTCCCTTCCGCTCTATTAGGAAGGTTTCCAAGTCCCCTTGGCTCTCAGTTGTCTGAGAGACCAGACTCTGCCCTAACAACCGTTGCTAAGGGGCGGAGACTTGGAATTGGTTCCTGAGACCAAATACTCCAGGATCTAGTACTCTGGGCGCATGCGGCGACCTTCTTTGAACTCTCGCGAGGTTTCGTCTTCCCGGAAGTCCCGAAGGATCTTCGCTGTTAACGGCGTCGCGATGTGTGTGGACTGTGTGGAGAAGGAATATCCCAACCGGGTGAGCGAGTGGGCGCCGAGAACTGCCCGCTCCCTTGGCCCATGGCCGCCCCTGAGTCTTCTCGTACCCCTGGGAGGTCTGGCGTGGGGCGGCCTCCGCCGCTACGCCCCATCCAGTGACCCGGTAGCTGTATATAGCACCTGATAGGGGTACGGCCTGCAGCCGTTGTTTCCTGCATATCCCCACCCTGGAGACTGGGAGCAGCCGTTGCTTCGTTTCTCTTGAGCTCCAGGGGAGGGGAAAAAAAAAACCCTACCACCACCACCAACCTAGCCGAGAACAGAGGAAGCCCCCACCCCTACCCTGGTCTTATCCTCAAGCTTGATTTGATGGCATTCAGTGCTCCTCCCAAATTCGGGCGCTAGAAGGGACCTCTGAAGTCATCTGTGGAACCCAATTTTGCTGATGAAATTAATGCCTGGAGGCGGGAAATCTCTTGCCAAAGTTCACTTTCTAGTTAGTGTGAAAGGCAAGACTGGAATTCTGGCTTCCTTGCTGTTAACTTTCTTTGAAATCGCTGTTCCTTTCAAGTTAAGGAGATTGCGAAGCTTGTTTATTCTCATTTCGTTCAACGTATACTTACTGAACATTTGTATTCGTGTAACTTGCGAACCGTCGAAGTGTACATTTACAGGGTCACGTGACTAGCAAAAACTTGACTAGTACCTAAATGCTATTCAGGTGTAGAGAAAAGGGAGAGCAATAGGAAATAGTGGTGTTCTCCCCAAAGAAAGGTGGAATTCACTTCAGACTTAAAGGATAGTTGTGACTGGGGTGGAAAAGGAAAGGAGGAACTGAAGGCTGGGGGAAATAACAAGGATTCTCATATAGGCTGGGAGATGTAGTTGTTCCTGTCTCTTAATAATTTGAGTAATACTTAGTCTTTTGGGAGGGTTTTATAATACATCATGAACACTCATATGATATAACCTCTTTGAAAATAAAGGTCTAGCACTATTTAAAAAAAAAAGATGTATGCTGAATGACCTGGTGGTTCCGATTCTAGAGAAATAAATGCATGTTCCTGGAGACTGGTATAAGAATGTTCATAACAGCATTGTTTGTGGTGTTGGTGGTGGTTTAGCCGCTAAGTCCTGTGACTCTTGGCGACCCTGTGGACTATAGCCTGCCAGGCTCCTCTGTCCATGGGATTCTCCAGGCAAGAATACTGGAGTGGGTTGCCAGGCTGGAAAAATGTAGTGTGGTCATAGAATGGAACGCCATGAGTGAATGAAGCAGTGGCTCGCAACTGGGAGCAGTTTTGCCTCCTGAGGGACATTTGATAATAGCGGGAGATATTTTTGGTTATCGCAACTGCAGTCCTACTAACATTTAATAAGTAGAGGCCTTATGCCATACCTTTACATTTCACATACTTTTCTGTATTGTGGTCTATTTCATACTTTTTTTTAAGTTTAAAGAGAGATTTTTGTGAATCCAGTACTGAAAACTGCACATTATAAGCACCATGAGGAAGATGTTTGCTGTGGATAATATCATATATTAAATTGGGTAATTCCCTGCCTCCAGGCTTCCACTGCAGGGGAAACAGGTTCAGTCCCTGGTCCGGGAACTAAGATCCCATATGCCTAGGTGAAGCCAGGAGGGGAAGGGAAAAAAAAAAATGTGTGTATATATATATGTATATATAATATATGGTTGGATTTTTAAGAGTTGAGCTCATCAAAAGACAACAATTATATTGAAGTTTAGACTATACACTTTAGGCTTTGGGCAGCCATCCAAAAAAAAAATAAGAAAATGACTCTGAAATCTGCTATATAGGAAAGTGGATCGAATGGTTGTATGTTGAGGTGATGGGATGGGAGAAAATGTAAAAGGACAGCCCTACAGAGCCTTTGGGGAAACCAAATGGCAGCTGTAGTATAGGTATGAGATGATGAAGATTTCATATCAAAGAAAGAATTAGCAGGGCTAAACCAATTTAATGTAGGAGGGAAGAAGGGAAGAGCATTCATAATCTCAAGAGTTTTTTATCTAGGCAGCTGAGAAGTTTGAAAGTATTACAGAAGTTTGAGCCATGTGGGAAGGAGAACCAAAATTGGGGGAGCAAATGATCAGATTGCTTTTTTTTAAAATCATGTTTCATCTGATGTTGAAACTGTAACATTCCAGGAATAGGGTAAAAATACAGGAAGACAGTTTGGATAAGAGACTCAAACAGATGAGTCAACCAAATAAAGGAGTCAGGAAAAATTTGTTCACTTAGGAAAAGAATGTAGACAATCAGCCAGTACTGAGAACTGAGCTTCAAGGATTAAATTAAATTAGAAAGTGAAAATAAAAGTATAGGAAGAAATAAAAGAGCTTCAAGGATTAAATTAATTTTGAATGTGAAAATAAAAGTATAGGAAGAAGAAAATAAAAGTATAGGAAGAAAATAAAAGTAAAGCTTTGAGGTGATTGGAAAACCAGGAAAGTGCCTGAAGCAGTTTTCTCTGATTTTTATTCTGTTTTAAAATGATTAAAAACTGTCATGAGGAAGAATTGGACTTTTATTTGAAATTCCAGAAGGCAGATTCAGAAATAATTAGTGGATGGATGTTAGGGGGCTATAGGCTTTAAATCAGAATAAAGAACTTTCTAACAAATTTTTTTTTTTTAATGGAATGGGTAACCTTAGAGAAATTGAACTCTTCCTTTCATTCAGTAGAGACTAAATGATGTCCTGAAGTCTCAGGGATCCCTCCAACTCTGGGATTTTTTGAAGTCATGAGATATTTTTAAGGACAGTAAGAGCAGAAGCCATTCTGCTTGAACCTGGCAAAGGTAAAGGTACTAGGTGGTAGTAACAAGTATAGTCCACTTATTAAATTTGGCAGAGAAAAATAATGGGTTAACATGTTGGATAGGTCTAAATGCAGAATGAGTAGGTAGTAAATATTTAATTATTTATCTTTGGGCTTCCCTTGCCGCTCAGTTGGTAAAGGATCCGCCTGCAATGCAGGAGACCTGGGTTTGACTCCTGGGTTGGGAAGATCCCCTAGAGAAGGAAAAAGCTAACCACTTCAGTATTCTGGCCTGGAGAATTCCATGGACTGTATAGTCCATGGGGTCACAAAGAGTCGGACACAACTGAGGGAGTTTCATTTCACTTGGTTTCCTAAAATGTCTGGACTTTGGTGGTGAATGTTTTTCACAGTCTAGGAGATTTCTTACAGAGCTCTGGCCCTCTTGTTTGTAATATTACACCAAGAACTTGAACTCAGACTTGAATCAAATTGGAAATGAACCATACTAATTTTTTGAACTCAACTTTTTTTACTCAACTATGAACCAGATTACTTTTTTCCATTTAGAAAAGCATTTAGCAAACCAGTTAGAACTAGAACTCTACTGCATTTTCTAAAATAACTGATTAGGCACAAAATTGTAATAAAACATTTCTATATCAAACTAGAAATGAAATCTATACTTCATATAGTTCAAGTTTCAGCTTTAACATTCTTAGTAATGTAGCAGCAATACAGAAATAGAGCATAAATTTAGACTAATCAGAGGGAAGTAATCAGTGTAAATTAGTTACATGTTTAAATTAGAAATTATGTTTTATATACTTTAAAATTAAACTATGAAAGTTCATGTACTCAGATTGTTGTGTGCATGTACATATTTGCTCAGTCATGTCTGACTCCTGGCGACGCTATGGAGTATAGCCTGTTAGGCTCCTCTGTCCTTGGGTTTCTCCAGGCAAGAATACTGGAGTGGGTTACCATAGCTTGCTCCAGGGAATTTTCCCCGACCCAGGGCTCGAACTCATATCATCTCCTGTATTGGCAGGCAGATTCTTTACCACTGCACCACCTGGGAAGCCCAAATTGTTGTTTAGCATCAAACCATATTTAATTAAATGCGGAGTCTGGTATACAATTTGTAAAGCAGTTGTATGGAAATGGATGCTTTAAAATGATGGTCTACATTTTAAAATGTCTATATTAAAAACAAAACAAAACACAGGGGACTGTCCTGGTGGTCCAGCGGCTAAGACTCCTTGCTCCCAATGCAGGGGTGTCGGGTTTGAACCATGGTCAGGGGACTAGATTCTACATGCCACAACTAAGACCTGGAACAGCCAAATAAATAAATATTTTAAAAACAATCTGGAAAAAAAAATAACGATCTGGAATCAGTAACTTAACTTTACATTTTAAAACAGTGAAAAAGCAAGAGCAGACTGAACCCAAAGCAAGCACAAGAAATGATACAGATTAGAGTGGCAATGAATGAAGTAGGAGATAGACAATAGAGAAAATCAGCAAAATTAAAATTTGGTTCTTTAAAAACTGTATTTTCCAGATTTAAGTACTCTTTGTTAAAACATATACACTGATAAGTTATACCATCTGAAATAATAGTTTTTTGAAAGAAACAAACTGACTCAATCCTTGTCAATATATTTGCAGATTTCTCAAATTTGTAACATTTTATCATAGTATACTTTCATACTAATTATCATCATAGTATTTAACCATTTCTTCCTGTGTATTTATATACCTTTACAGATCTTCAACCAGGATTTGGCTGAATCACATTTTCTAAAGATTTTTAACTTTTGACTTTTTTCCTGTCTTCTTGAAACTGTTATAGCTTACTATTATTACTGCGAAGTTGATTTAGATTTTATTCTTCTCTTTCCTCCTGCTGTGATAACCTCAAACGCTTCTCTGAATACTGTATTCTTTAATTTTCTTTCCCAAATTTGTACATTAATAATCTTGCTTCATCTAATAAAATAATCATGCCTCACTGATGAAGGTTACCCTCACTTTCAAATGATCAGGGCCTTTAGAGAAAGCCCCATCAGTTTCTTAGGTACTTTACTTACATTTTGCCATTTCAAGAATTTATTTCCTTACCTCACAACAGGGACATATGTATCTCTTCTCTTCCTTCAGTATTTAGAGTTTACATTTGGCCTGCTTATATGGTCAGATTACAGAGTTTAGACCATATTGTATAAAGTGCCTGTGTTTATGTGTGCACTTCTGCTCAGAGTGCTGTTAATAATTTATTTGAACATGGTATTTAGATCTTTATTCTTTTAAGAGTTTTTTAAAAATTCCTTAATATCTTGGAGTCTTTGACAGTCAACTTTTCTGGATTCAAGGCAGTACCACTTCAGACCTCAACAGGCTTTTTGTCAAAGTTTTTTAATTCTAGCAGAGCTATTTAAAATCCTAAAAGGTAATGCTGTTAAAGTGCTGCACTCAATATGCCAGAACATTTGGAAAACTCAGCAGTGGCCACAGGACTGGAAAAGGTCAGTTTATTCCAGTCTGGTCGGTTATTCCAGTCTCAGAAAGGCAATGTCAAGGAATGTTCAAACTACCATTGAATTGCCCTCGTTTCACATGCTAGCAAGGTAATGCTCAAAATCCTTCAAGCTAGGCTTCAACAGTACATAAACCAAGAACTTCCAGATATATAAGCTGGATTTAGAAAAGGCAGAGGAACCAGAGATCAAATTGCCAACTTTTGTTGGATTGTAGAAAAAGCAAGGGAATTCTAGAAAAACATCTATTTCATTGACTATACTAAAGCCTTTGACTGTGCAGATCACAACTAACTGTGGAAAATTCTGAAAGAGATGGGAATACCAGACCACCTGACCTGCCTCCTGAGAAACCTGTACGAAGGTCAAGAAGCAATAGTTAGAACCAGACATAGAGCAGTGGACTGGTTCATAATTGGGAAATGAGTGCATCAAGGCTATATATTGTCACCCTGCTTATTTAATTTTTATGCAGAGTACATCATGTGAAATGCCAGGCTGGGTAAATAACAAGCTGGAATCAAGATTGCCAGGAGAAATATCAGCAACCTCAGCTATGCACATGATAGCACTCTGATGGTAGAAGGTGAAGAGGAACTAAAGAGCCTCTTGATGAAGGTGAAAGAGAGTGGAAAAAAACTGGCTTAAAACTCAACCTTAAAAAACCTAAGATCATGGCATCTGGTCCTGTTACTTCATGGCAAATAGTTGGGGGAAAAGTTGAAATAGAGGCAGATTTTATTTTCTTGGACTCCAAAATTACTGTGGACAGTGACTGCAGCCACGAAATTAAAAGATGCTTGCTCCTTGGAAGAAAAGTTCTGACAAACCCAGACAGCATATTAAAAAGCAGAGACATTACTTTGCCAACAAAAGTCTGTATAGTCAAAACTGTTTTTTTCCAGTAGTCATGTATGGATGTGAGAGTTGGACTATAAAAGAAGGCTGCGTGCTAAAGAATTGATGCTTTTGAATTGTGCTGGAAAAAACTCTTGAGAGTCCCTTGGACAGCAAGGAGATCAAACCAGTCAATCCTCAAGGAAATCAACCCTGAATATTCATTCGAAGGACTGATACTGAAGCTAAAGGTCCAATACTTTGGCCACGGGATGCAAAGAGACAACTCATTGGAAAAGACCCTGATGCTGGGAAAGATTGAGGGCAGGAGGAGAAGCGGGCAACAGAGGATGAGATGGGTGAATAGCATCACCAACTTAATGGTCATGAGTTTGAGCAAACTCTGGGAGATTGTGAAGGAAGGGGAAGCCTGGCATGCTCTAGTCCATGGGGTCACAGAGAATCGGACATGACTTAGCAACTGAACAACAACAATCATCTAATTAGGAAAAGAACTTGAAAAAGAATAGATACATGTGTATGTATAACTGAATCGCTGTGCTGTACTCCTGGAGCTAACTGTACCTCAATATAAAATAAATAAGGTTAACTAAGTTGCTTATTAGTTAAGTTCTGAACAATTACTAGTAAGGCTTCAGCAAAGACCTCATTTGAGCCAAGAACATAGTTATTTACAGTTTCTTAGTTACAGTTTCTTTCTCTCTTAAATGTCAAGATGTCAATCTGATGAATTGCAGAAATTACCTTCTCTGCCTGAATCACATATATCCTAAGGACTGGTATCTATAAGAGCTGAAAGGTTATTTCTCTTTATTTATTTTCTGATATTTTTAAGGCTTGAGAAAATGCTTTTTCAACAGTCAACTGAGCATCACATTGCGTAAGGTCATTTTTATTATTGGCTCAGAGTTTCCGTTTTGATTAAATTTTCATTCTAATTTTATGATACCTCATTTAGTGGTGTTGGCTATTAGATTTTCTAACTTTTCCTTTTCATGTGTTATATTAAGACTTCATTAAGTTGTTTCTAAATATCCAGTTGCGTTTAGTCTTCTCTCTTAAACACAGTTGCGGACTTCAGAGACTTAACAGCTCTAACATTGCCTCAGGTTTATTTACTATGAATGATACTTCTAGAGGAAAGCTAGTAATTTCAAAAATTACTTGGCATAAACTTCCAGCAAGTAAATTGTGGTCATGTTTTTTGACTTTAGAGACTTTAAGTCTATCAATCATTTTCTCCAAGGATTTTGAAATATAAGGAAATTAAATCTCCCCCCAAAAGGAAAATTAAATCCCTATTTTCTTATTTTAGGGTAACATCTGCCTGGAAAATGGATCTTTCTTGCTGAACTTTACAGGCTGTGCAGTGTGCAGTAAGCGAGATTTTATGCTGATCACAAACAAATCTTTGAAAGAGGAAGACGGAGAAGAAATAGTTACCTATGATCGTAAGTAGACTCTTTAACATCTAAGTCTGTTAGTAGATGTCATCTTTTGGGAATTAGGTTGTGCAGAGTATTATGAGGTCTATATTACTATCACACTGCAACACATAATCACTAGTTTTTTAAGAGGAGAATATAGGTAACATCTCATGTATCTAGCAACATCATATATTCCACATAAATGACTTGCAGATAGCTGAAGCTTATAATTTAGGCACTAGTTTTCTTTTGTTTGTCTTTAAAGACTATGTCTTCTGTAACAAGATATAGAGACTTTTTTTTAAACTTAGGGTCATCCATGTGAATTTTCACCTACTATAGTATAATGCAATGATGTACTTCAGCAGCTCTTAAGTGTTTAGGGATGTTTGTCCTTATACTAAATGGCTCTGAGAAACTTTTTTTAATTCTTATTTCTGCTTTTATAGCTTTTGTGTCTTTTGTTACTGTCAGTCTATCGTTTCTTTTGCTGCTATAAGGATGGATGCCCTCTTCATGTGCTGTTCTTCATTTTTTATACTGGGAAATGAAATAAATAACTATGTATAATAAAAAAATCAGTTCTGAGGTTGGCACTAAGAATCTCTGAGTAAATTTATGTACATGTGCACTTTAGTGCTCAGATATTGTGGCAGCTGATTTAACTGTTCACATTTCCTTTTTGATTGTCTCCTGATTTTTTGGCATGTTCTGACTATATGAAATAAATGTGTTAATAACAACATTTTTAAAGAAGGGTATAAAAGACACTAAGCCTTTAGAATAGAGTCAGAAAATAGAAAAATGTTCTACATTAGAAAAAAATCTTCTTTCTTTTAGCATATTTAGTTTTTATTTTTCTAGATAGAGGAGAGTGGTCAAAAGCAAGGGCTCTGGGGCGAGAAAGCTTGGTTTGAATTCTGGTTCCAACACTCCCTAACTCGGCATGGTCTTCCTAGTTACTTACACACGGTGTGCCTTTCTTTCTGTATCCTTACAAAGGGCTTCCCTGATGGCTCAGCTGGTAGGGAATCCACCTGTAATGTGGGAGACCCGATCCTGGGTTGGGAAGAGCCCCTGGAAAAGGAAATGGCCACCCACCTCAGTATTCTGGCCTGGAGAATTCCATGTATAGTCCATGGGGTCGCAAAGAGTCGGACACGACTGAGCAACTTTCACTTCACTTCACTTCACTTCACAAAGGTGATAAGAATAGTATCTACCTTGTTGGGTTTTTGAGAAGACTAAGTGAATAAACAGATAAAAAGTGTTTAAAACAGTATCTGGCACACAATAAGCACTCAATATATAATAGTTATTATAATATTGTTTTTACTAGAGTCTTGTTACTGCTAAATTCACTTTAATGTCTTGTGTTAGCTTTTTGTTTATGTTTGGGTAGTAGCACAGTTTCTATCATTCCTGAGAATAAAAGCTCCTATATAATTAGGTAGGTTCAGCTAGTTTAAAAAATACACATATCTGTTAATTGATTACCTTAGCTTCTAGTGGGAATTGCACATTAAGTCTCTGAGTTCAGGCCCTTAATTATATAGTGTTGCTGTGTAATAGAGTCTGTATTTTTTTTTATCAAGGTGGACATTACAATGGGTTTCTTTTGTGTTAAATTTGACAGAGTTAAGATTCTTTTAAAGCAATACCATGCTAAGAATAGAAATTTTACTGTCTTCAGACACCATCTAAGATTTAATTTTTTAAGTCTGTCTTTGTTTCAGCAGATCTTTGTAAGAATTGTCATCACGTAATAGCCAGGCATGAGTATACATTCAGTATCATGGATGAATTTCAGGTAAATGTATATATGTGGGTGTGTTATTGAGGGGAAGGGGGATAAGAAGAGTACCCTTGACAAATCTAGGTATAATCTTCATAAATGAAGTGCTCGCAGATGTTAGAGGAGACCGTCCCTCTCTTCCACTTGTGTAAGTTGAGAAAGATACTTTAGATGTGGGTGGATCTGTTCAAACCTGTCTTCACAAGAGTCACAAAGCAAAATAACATGGCTTACAGATGATATCTCTGTCTTGTCATTTTTGCTTATAAAGAATAGCACCTTATGGCTTCTTATAAGGTTACCATTGTGCCTGTTTTTTCTCTACCCAGTTATTTGATTGCACAATTGTTGGCTTTAAGTGTTGGTCTGCCCACTGCCACCATTCTTTTGGAGCATAGAAACCATGATAGTAAGATTATCTTTGTTTCCCTTGGACTGTAGTCAGCAACTCTGGTCTCAATTTTGATAGGATATTTGAATATTATTTGAGAAGTAAAACAATAGGTGAATCATGGTTGGAGGAGAGAAGCTGAACCACTGTAAGGGTAGAGAATAGGGATCTATTAAAAGATTAGTCCTTATACAACTGTGAGAGCATGTGCAGAATTCTACAAAATCCTACAGGCTAGTATAGGCCTACAGTTGCTGAAGATCCACAGATCTAACGGTGAGGAAGAAAAGCTGGACAATGGGGGAGAGTCACAGACAAACTGGAAAGCCCAAGGACACACTCACCTGTGTCCATCCCTCACTGCCTCCGCTTTCAAGATTGAGTTACATATTTCCTGTGAACTACATGTTCATAGGATATAAACGTCAGGTAAGAGCTTTTTACTGTCAAGGGAATTTTTTTTTTTTGGTACTACTATGATTAGGGAAAAAATCTTCTACAGTAGAATCTTATAAAATAGTACAAGAGAACCACTTTCATTTTTACTTCAGTGTGGAAGAAGGCACTTAGTCACCTGTCAGAATCTGGTCTAATATCTTGTGGTCCTTCTAAATAACATCCTGACCACATCTCCCCAGCATCCAAAAATTATGCCTCAAAGATTCTTATATGATAGGTGTCTCTTTGGGCAAAATCAAGGTCTCAGTGAATGAGTAGTGACCAAATAGGGGAGTGAACATGTCAGGGACTTAAAGGAGCATCTCTCTCCATCATGGAAGGACAGGTGTGCTTATAACTATTTTCCAGTGGTTCCTGAAGCTCCTGTGAGGTTTTTAGAGTCCCTAAGTGAATCTTGAGATTGCCTGTGTATGCCCTAATTGAGCCATAGTGTGTCAGCACCATGAGACCAAAGCCTAGCAGATTTCCCATTATGACTGAGCACAGCCATTTTCAAAGCTGTCCCAGAAGTTCCTTTGGGGAAAGAAGAAGGGAAGGGAAGATGGCTGTAGTCACAATGCCTAGATAGTGTGGAATTCTCTTGGGAAGAAACTCTTAAACTGGACTCTACCTCCAGTCCTCTCTTCCCCAACATCCACTCCCTGCCACCCCCGTGTTCTTTATTTTGCTATCAGCATATTTGTCTTAAAATGATGCTTTCAGACTACCTCTTTGGCTTTGTCTAGAATAGCTGTCTTTAGCTCCTGTATACTGTCCAAGCTTCCCATCCCAAGGTTCTCACTGGGTTGGCAGCCTCCCCTTCTCTGATTTCTCATTGCTTTCCTTTTGCACACCATTCATAGCATTGTCCCAGCTTTAATCTCTCCTCCTTCCCTCCTGTTGTAGAAATTTTTATTTCCTCTCTGTTATCCCCACAATGCATTTCCTCAGGAACTTCATGTGACCTTCTCTCCTCCTAGCTTTTTCTCAATGAGATTTAAAGCATTTTTACATTAAATATATTTAGTTCTTCTCTATTTGTTAAAAGTAAATTAAAATCCTTTCGTTTCACTCAGCTGCTTCTTCGATTCATCTCTGATCATCTCTCTGCTTCCTTTTGCTTCTTTACTTGAATGGCTCTTTACCCTATTTTCCTTTATTTCCTTTTGCTTCTCCTAACAATCTACAAATTGGTTTTCACTTTACTTTCGAATTTCAAATTTCACTTTACTTTCAAATTTCATTTTCACTTTACTGAAATTATTCTCTCATAGATTCCCTATAATGTAGCCAAATCCTGTGACCTTGCCTTCTCATCTCTCTCAACATCTTTCTGAATCTGGTTTTGTTAACCATTGTCTTTTTGGAGCATTTTATCCTCCGGGGTCCATAGTGCTAGACTTTTTTCTTTCTTTTTAAATCATTTTGAAAGTTCCCTTGCTTTCTCTGTGGTTTCCTTTCCTATTTCTCCCTAACATCTTTTCTCCTGAGCTTTGGCCTCTGGTCTAGGAACCTTCTCTTTACTCTCTCAGATACCGAGCACACGTATACTCAGTCTCTGGTGAAGCCTATAGGGTGTCTCCCGGATCTCCTCCTCTAACCCTGATGTCCTGTCTGTCCTCCTTCCTCCCTTTGTTTCTCTCTTTTGTTTGGCTCCAGTGTCACGCTTCATGTGAAGGACCATTCCGCTCAAACCTAGAGGACTGCAGCAGTCTCTATGCTGTAGTTGTGCACACCGCCCTCAAATTAATCTCCTGACACTGCTCTGCTACTCCTCACGCGATGTGCTTGCCCTGTTCCGTATCGCTGTCTGTATTCCTGCTCTTTCCTTTACTTAACTTGTCCCTTTCACTGTGTTCAAGCTAACTTAATCTTACCTCTTTTAAGCTGTACTTAAATTGTGCCTCCTTCTGCTTCTTAGTAATCCAGCCCTTTTTTGAACTCTTCTTGTATCCATTGCAGCCCCAACTCGTGACTAGCCAATTGGTAACTTCCATCTCAGCCTGATGACCCCACGGACTCCGCATTCTCAGCTGCTGTGACTTACTTTCCTCAGCCTCACCCCACTCCAGCCCCCATCTTATTCCAGTAGTAGTTCAGGTTCAGGGTGGAATTCCCACCATTGGTAATATTTTGCTTTGTTTGAAATGTCTTATGAGAAATTTAAATCAGAAGTAGGCAGACTAGGACTTCCAGAGGTCCCGTGGTTAAGACTCCATGCTTCCGCTGCAGGGGCCTCAAGTACACTCCCTGGTCAGGGAAGTTCTGCATGCCACGGGGTGTGGTCAAAAGAGAAAAAGGCAGAGTAGTGTATTAATCTTCAGTTTTCAGCTTCAGTTTGCTTTATTTGTACCTCTCAGGATTACTTTGAAGCAAATCCCAAATGTTTCCTACTTCTGTAAATATTTCAGTATGAACTCTAAAAGATAAAGATTCTGTTTTTAAACAGATTCATTTTTAACAAACAATGTTGTTAAAATAAGGTTTTCTGATGGCAAGTATTGAGGGGAAAGTAGAGACATAAGTACAGAGTTTAAATGGAAAATAAGTTGGGATTACAGGCATCCTGTATTTTTTATATTACCCTAAAATCCATTGAAAGGGCTATATTTTTGCCTCAGGAAAGAAGAGGGAAACTGCGACTGCTTTTTCTTTGTCTATAGACCAGGGAAGGAGAGGACCAAGGGTCAGAATTAGCAGGTACTAATAGAGGGAAGTCACTCAGTCATGTCCGACTCTTTGCAACCCTTGGATTGAATACTGGAGTGGGTAGCCTTTCCCTTCGCCAGGGGATCTTCCCAACCCAGGGATTGAACCTAGGTCTCCTGCATTGCGGGTGGATTCTCTACCAGCTGAGCCATAGGGGAAGCCCAGAGAAGGCAATGGCAACCCACTCCAGTGTTCTTGCCTGGAGAATCCCAGGGACAGAGGAGCCTGGTGGGCTGCCGTCTATGGGGTTGCACAGAGTCGGACACGACTGAAGTGACTTAGCAGTAGCAGCAGCAATAGAGGGAAGAGGCCCGTGGGACCCTATTACTCAAGTAACATGGAAGGTACAGCAACCGTTACCAAGGGAACAAGGGGTAATGTTAGTCACAAGGTCAGGAGACAATCCATATCTCAAGAAAGGGGAATGAGACTCAGCAGTTTTGTCCTAAAGAGAATGTTTACTAAAGGAGACCCAAGCCTGCCTCACACAGTGACCTCAGTCCCTGGGAGCAGCGTGCTGTTCCACTTGAAGAGGGACAAAGGACTCATGAGAGACAGCACGTAGGAATCCTCCCTTCAAACATTCCCTGACAGGACCCTCAGCGTAAAACACAGGATCTGATCTTGCCCAAAAGGGATTCCACCCATCCCACCATTTCTTCCAGATCACTTCCCTCAGGCTTTGCCCAGGTGGAGCCTTTGAAGATCTCTGTGAATGACTAAGGGGAATTCTGATTCTCCTGACTTGGCCAATTTGGGTGAAAAGTGTCCTGATCCCACCATATTCCTGGCAGCACGGGAAGATATGTTCCTGGCATCCCAAGTGAGAATTCTGGACATATTTTCCCACAGAAACACTTCTTTGTGTGGTTAGATTCTATAGGACTTGTACAGTATAAATTTAAAAGACTCCCTGGATTTCCCTGGGAACCTAACTGCTTTGTGTAATGTTACTTCTGTGGGAAACTGCTTCTGCATTCCAAATAATTGACCTGGAATGAAATTTGGATTCCAGACTGCCTATAAATTAAAGATTATAGGTATAGTCAGTCTTACTGATTTAACAGTTTTTCCAAATTATACCATGTTAGGTTTTTTCTTTCTGTCAAGTTGCACTGTAAATTTTGCAAGGTCAGACCTTGTCCTCGCCTTTTCCCATGTCTGCCAGTGTACCTGGCATATTACAGAGCCTTTATGCACATAATGAAAACTTGTCATTGGGTAGGTTGGTTGAAAATTCGAATAGTTGTCTAGCTTCACACATTTCCCCATATTGGCTTTATTATTTTTTTCTTCATTTCCAGTGAGAGGTTGACATTCTATTAGTAGTGTCTAGTGAGTGAAAGCAGAATTTGAAAGCAGTAAAAACCTTGGAGAGAGTGGATTTTAACTATTTTTGATTCATGAGACTCGTGTTTGTTTGCTGAGCTCTGGTCTCTATTTCTACTGTGTGTGTGGAGTAGACTTTAAAATTAAATGTGGTCTTTTAAGAAACAGTCTTTCTACCGCTGTAACTAAGTCCTCCTGCTGAACTCTCTAGCAAGAAATGGAAAGGCAGTTGCTGGTTCTGAGCCTTGGTACTGTAGTCACTGTTCACCTCTGTGACCCTCTCTAGTGACTGTTCAGACCCATGAACCTCAAACTGCCTTGACTGATCAATTTCCAGGCAGCCAGCAATCTCAATGTCAGGTGTGGAAATACTGATAGACTTAGTATAGATGCATGCTTTCCTAAAGAAGATAAAAAGTTTTAAAGTAAAAGCTTTGAAAGACACATGTTTCTCTAGTTTATGACCATATTATATATTCTAGAAAGAAACAGCTATAAAAACAGAACTTTGACCTAAGGATTTTTGCTTAAAACAAAATACCTTCTGTCGCCAGTCTGGACATTTGTTAAGCCCAGGAAACATAAAACTCCTTAAAAAGATCAAATTCTAGAAAACTAGCTATCTAAATATGAGACATGAGATACTAGTGGATTTAACATAATTGTTTATTTTTTCTGGAGTAGATAAAAGTAGCCTTTTGGGTTTGGAAATTTTTTCCCCTTTTTTGTTTTAAAAATTGTTTCCATTGCATATTAGTGTTGAATATCCTAGAAAGGAACAGCTCAACAGAAATTTGTCCTCAGGGGCGCACACTCAAATTGTTTCATTACTTTAAATAGCAGCACTAAGTAAGCCCAGTATATGTGTTTTCTAAATTTAGGAAATAGCCATGCCTTTCCAAGATGACATTCTTGTATACATAGTAAATAGAGCATAGAACATCAGTATGTATTCAATTTATATAAACAAAATGTTGTGGGATACACAGACTAAACCTAAGACTTCACTTACAGGAAGAAAGTTGAAGAAATTGATCTACTGTACAGATAGTATATCCAGGACAATTTACGAGGACAGGTTTACCAGAGAGAGTTATGAAGGCTCTTTCTGCTGGTTCCTCAAGATAATTGTGCACTTTCTCTTGTTCCAGGAATATACCATGCTGTGTCTGTTATGTGGTAAAGCTGAAGATACTATCAGTATTCTCCCGGACGACCCCCGACAGATGACTCTATTATTCTAAGGATCCTTCTGCTGTTCTGTAATAATGCTGTTGTGTTGGTTTACAATACAGCAAGCCTGTTTATAATGGAAATTATTTGCATATTATTTTTTGCTGCTTAGACTCACCTGTTCTTTGAAACGAAGAGTTCCCTGGCAGTCCAGTAGTTAGGACTGGCACTTTCACTGCTGTGGCCAGGGTTTAGTCCCTGGCTGGGAAACTAAGACCCCACAAGCTATGTAGTGCAGGCCTCACTGCCCCCACAAAAAAAAGTAATTTAGGAGATTGCTGAGCTCTTCTGCTAAAGTTCCCAGTACATATTAGTGCAGCCAGAATGAGGCATCTTTGTTAGCTGTTATGTGGCTGAAAAATAACTAGGATGAAAAGCACATCTAGTGCCCAGATCTTGGTTCCAACAAAAGGAATCTAGGACTCCTTGGAGAAATGACTGAGTCTAGGACTGGGGCAGTAAATATACAAGATGAGCTTGGAGCATCTTGAGCCACAAAAAAAGGAAGTGCTCAAAGGGAAATCACAATGATTGGGAGTATGTCAAAGGGACAGAAGAACCCCCCAGAGAACCTCCCAGTGACCAAGGCTGGAACAATCTGAGCAACAAAATAAAGTAGTAGTGGATTATAACCCAAACTATAAAATAAATATTCATGAGTCCCTACATGAATGACTGAATAAATACATATATTGGAGGGAATAGTTAAGTACCCCCATGGGAAAATTTCAAATAACGTATGTAGATACTCCTAACTCCTTAACTATGGGTTTGCATGACTTCCTTCCAACGAGTAGAGTATGGGAAGGGGGAAAAGTAATTTTAACTTTTATTTCAATAAGAGATCTGACAGACACTAGCCTGGTGATCAAGATTAACATCTCTGATGATAAGCCATGTTGATAGCATTACCCTTGATATGTGATAAGAATGACATGTTACCTTTGGGGTCTTCCTCCCCAAAACCCAAAACTTTGGTCTAATAATGAGAAAAACTTCAGACAAATCCCAGTTGAGAGAGAAATCCCAACTGAGGAAAATACCTGGCCAGTACTCCTCAAAACTGTCAAGGTCATCAAAGAAAGGAAATCTGAGGAGCCCTCACAGCCAAAAAGAGCCTAAAGACACATGACTATTAAATGAAATCTGGTATCCTGAATGAGATCCTGCACAAGAAAAAGGACATTTGGTAAAACTAGGGAAATCTGAATAAAGTACAGACTTTAGTTAGTAAAATAGAATGGTTTCAGTTGCTCCAAAGAGATCTTACCTTGCATAGTTGAAAGAACACTGGCTTGGGTGCCATAAAACCTGGCATTTAGGCCTCTGCTATTTGGTAGCAGTATAACCATTAAGCAAAGCGTCATACTAGACTTTATTGTCCCCTTTCTATAGAATTGGTGTAGTATAAATTGATACTATACTTCCTTCATGGTATTGTTAGAAGATCGAAAAATCATGTAAATGTAAAATGCTTTGGAAGGCATATAAAATACTAGATAGGATAAGATTGTTTTAGTTAGTTCTCATTCTGAAATCAAAACTTAAGGGTCAGGCATTAAAGCAGAATTGTTTCTTGTTCATATCTCAGACCCTCTGAACAGAGTGAGCCAAGTTGTTGATATCAGGGAAAAGCTTTGTTATGTAACAGGAATAATAAAAATAGCCAAGGTTTACTGACTACTTACTATGTGCCAAGGCCATTTTAAGCACTTGTTTCATCCTCATTAACCATTCCATGAGGGTAGGTACTATTGTTACCCCAGTTTTAGAGCCAGATAAGCTAAGGCAGAAAGAAGTTAAGCAGCTGAGTCCAGGGCACGTAGTACAGTGATGCTCTTGCAGTCCTAGTGTTCAGTACATGTGAAGTGTGAGAGTCTGGCAAGGTTAGGAAGAGGTCGAGAATATCAGTGACAGCACTCTGAGGAATCTAGGCATGTCAGACTAAGATTTATTATTCAGAAAAGTTAGCGCAGCTGTTCCTTAGGGATCAGTTGTTTTATTCCTGGAAAATGTTTTCCACTTTCTGCAAATCTATATCTGACCTGCTGAGGAAATCATTTGGTGAATTGAATCCAGAAAGCAGAGAAAATGTTTCATTACTTTAAATAGCAGCACTAAGCCCATTACAGTTTCTGAATTGTCCCTTCTTGGAGTTTGCTATTACTTCCAACTTAAGTCTTTTGGAGTTCAAGAGTATGAATTTATATGCCCTTCCTGATATCCTCATCTCTATAATTATCTGGTTTTGGACAATATATTACAAAAAATTTAAATGTAAGATCCTACCTATATATTTCATTATTATTAAACCAGCATTATACTGTGTTTGGTGATCTTCCTTATATATCTTCTAGCATTGTTTTGTGGACCTAATAGAATAAAGACCTCTTAAATGCAGTTCTACTTTTTCTGTATTTCTCTGTTTAAGTAGAGGGGAACCAGGTAAAAGCATTTGTCTTATTTATTTCCTTCTCTGAGATGTAAGAAGGAGAAGAAAGGACCTTAGTGGGAGTGTAGTGGGAAACATGAACTTGTGCTGGCAGCTCATTCTTTCTCTCCCTGCTTCATGATGTGCAGGTTGGGGTCGACCTAGTGAGGCTCTTGAAACCCAAAGCTCAGCAAGTTTGCTATAGCTTTAATTTGCTGTGTCTTACTCAAATGGTCTTGAGTTCTCCAAATACTAATTAATTGACGTGATATAGTCTAGACAGAGCCAGATATGGTTTGTTAGCTTGTAAGTCATCACTAAGAAGTATACATTCACTGTTCTTTATTTCAGTGTAACAAGAATCCTTTTCAAAAGTTTTATTCTTCTGTTTCGCAAGCAGAGCTAAGTTAAACTTGACTGAATCTGAGGCTCTCAGTTTTAAAATGTATGTTCTTGACTATAGTACAAGTCTCTATTGTGAGATATGCTGTGGTTGGGTAGAAGGGAAATCAAGAGACCTGGGTTTGAAATTTGTTCCGCCACCTGCTTATTGTGGGACATTGGGCAAGTCATTCTCTCTGTACCTTGATTTTTTCAGTGGAAAAGTAGACACAGTCATGCCTCCTTCACAGAGTTTTAAAATCATGATATAATGTTAAGGGAAAGCATCATTAGGTCATAGAGTGCTGTGTACAGGCAGCTATCAGGGGTCTTAATGCAGGAACTCTGAGACAGAAGAAAGCACTGTTGTGTCACGGTTAATTGTAGAAACTTTGGAGTCAGATTGACCTGGGTTTAACTTTCAACCCTGCCCCTCACTAGACCTTTGTCCTTGAAAAGTTTCTTTCTCAATTACCTACTCTTTAAATAGAGATAAATATTCCTCAGGATCAGTATGATGATTAAATAACCTAGGGTATAGAAAGTACTTAGCACAGTGTGGGGGTATGGTATATGGTAATTTGGATGACGGTTGTGATGGTGATTATAAGAAACCACTAGATTTGAAATCATCTGTAAACGTTTGGCTTGGACTTTCTTAAACTGAGGAGATTTAGTTACAGGAACATAGTCATGGAAATAACCATCAATTTCAGTCTATGTGTCTGGACCCCAAAAATCTCTTATTCTAAACTGTATTTTTTGTAAGAGCCCTAGAGGAATGATTCTCTTTGTCTCTCCTCTAAAGTAGCATTATCTCAGCACTTCTGGGAAAGCCTGTTTATAGGACTTCTTGCTTCCTGAGTGCCCCTGGGGAAATTTGATTAAAACATCATGTTGATCTAGGAAAGTGGGTGATTATATTAAGATTTGCCATGGCTGTTTATGACCATAAACTGATACTTCTGAGGATGTAAAGGGGACAAACAAGATGAGGAATAAAGGAAAGGAAATAATTCCTCATTTCTGAAGCAAACAACATTTCCCTGCCCAAGTGAGGAGCCCTCTTCTAGCATTATGGTCCATTCTGACTCTCTCTGCAAAATCACTTATAGTGTAATTCACATTCCTTTGGGACTCTCTAAATAATTCTCTCAGCTTGAGCCTCCTGGGGAAGACCCAAGACATTTTTCTGGCATATGAGGTCCCCAGTTGCCTATGGCATAGTGTCTGCACCCAGGAAAGCAGGCTCTGCTGTTGAACATCACAGCAGGCAATGGCCCTGTGAAGATGATGAACATATCATGCCGGCATCCCACAGGAAGTCCCATTTTATTTCTTCAGGGAAGCAGTTTTTACTCTAAAATCAGTGCTTAATCTTGTCCTTACGAAAAAAACAGAACTCATACCCTAGCTGTTGGCTCTGACAGTGGAAATCTTAAAAGGCTTGAATTCTCAAGAGTCAGGTTTAGGGTGACCTTAATTTAGCAGGAGACCTTCCGAAACATGTCAGGGGATTCCCACTGTACCACTCAAGTTACCGTTTTGAAATAAAGCACCATGGATTACATAGCTTTAGTAGAAGGTCAGACAGTGGGGATCCTTAACCTCTATTCCACATTTACTTTTCAGATGATGCGAGTGCTTGGAAAAGTTATGGGGAACATCCTAGAAAAAGCATTTTCCCCTCTGCGTGGGGCTCTCAAACTGATGTGTCCAGCTGGGAGAACTGTCCCTGAGAAGTAAAATATTCCATATAGTGATGGAAGAAGGAGAGGCAAAATGAAGTTTCCAGGAAGAGGCTTGTGGGACAAAGTGGGGGGCAGTGGCTCGTCTTTTCCAGGGTATGACAAAGCCCAGCCTCGGTGGTACTTTTGAGAACGCCTGCACTAGGCGAGGGATCTGGGGCACCATCCCTCCAAGCCATTCGGCAGAACTCTGTTCTCACAGAGAGCAGCTAGTATAAACTGACTGTGAAGGGAGGCTCTCTCCCATCCCTACCCTCAGAGGAAAGGAAGTGAAACCAACCGTTCACACCTAAACTTGTCCCTTTTGTGAGCATGGGAGTGTGAGAACGACAAGGGTGGACCGTGAACTTTAAAAAGGAGGCAGAGTCCATATGACAGTGGATCCAAAACAGACGTTACTCCAGAAGGCGGTCAGGAGACGGGCAGAGTGCTCTTTGTGTTCCCCGTAACT